AAAAAAAAAGAAAATCACTTTAGCTCAAGAGTTTGAGGTTGCTGTGAGCTGTGATGCCACCACGATCTACCAAAGGCAACGTAGTGAGACTCTTAAAAAAAATGAAAAATAAAAATAAAAAAAGTCAATACCAAGTTTTAAGTACTGAAAAATTAGCCTCTATGGATAGTATGTATGGAATAACGACAAACAAAATTATTTTCAAAGGTAAGCAAATACTAATTCAGTACAGTCTAAGGTAGAATCTGCTAAGATGTTACCACAAATGTGTAAAATAATGTAACTTTGTAAATCTCCAAATTCATAAGTAAATTATCTCTATTGATCTCTCTCAAATTGCTGCCAAGGATAACTAAAAATAACTCAGCAACTTAGAGATCATTTTATCTTCACTGGTAGAGAACCAAGCCCTATTCAGATGTGTATGGTAAGTAGTTAGCTACTAACGTAATAGGTAAAAAAATTTCCTTTAATGTAGACTTCAAATTTTTGCCTTCAAATTAACTTTAATTGAAACTAACTCAAATCTAAACTGCAATAACATTCCTAATATTTTTTAACAGGGTATTTAATGGGCGTTTTAGATACTTAAATATTTCTCACTGTTAATAATGAAAAGATTGTGTAAATTACCTGGATTTCTTCACTGGTTTATAATGAATTCAGAAAAGATTTACCATCAATATTTCAACCTACCATTTACTTGGTATTGAAAAAGACTTTTATTGTGTTTTAAGGAAAACATTGTATCATAGGCAAAGTATCAACATAAATTAACTTACTTTAGTAATTCAAGAATGGCAAGCACAATATCGTTAACATAACAGAACCCTGATGCTTCTGATTTTTTAGCATGATGTAATCCTCCAGCCCAATTAACAGCCATATCAGTCTGTTGTCGGTTCAACTTCACGGCCCCAGCTAAGTAGAAATAAGATATTGTCAATTTTTTAAATATTTAAAATAAAAAATTAGAATAAATAGACAAAAGCCCTATAAGTAAAAGTATGCTATGCATAGCAAAAGCTTAAAATTATAAGTAGTAAAGATTATTGCTTAGGGCATTAGTAACAGTTTATCCTTAAATATCCAGTAGTTGTAACCTAAGACATGGGGGGGCTTTAAAGTAAATTTTACTTTACTACAAACATGCTGATTGTTTTTCTTATCAAAATCCACCATTAAAACTTCTGCTTTAAACAAATAACCCAAATGATATATAGCAAGCTTAGATCAACTTTTAAATCTGTTTAAGTTAGGACTTACCAACTGAGCCACCGGTTGAGAGCTGACAAAACTCAAAAAGTCCATCAAACACTGGACAATCCTCTCCAACATTAACTGTGGAAGATGGATTTAATTAATTTCACCCCATTCTGGAAATTAATAAAAGCTTTTTCTAACAAAAATTATTTCCTACAAATATTTTGATCCAATCATAAAACATACTTCACAATAGTAATCTAAAGTCTGTAATTTTAAAATAAATTTTTTTTTTCCTAAGATAATTCAAGTATTATCTGTGAAACATCATCACCAAATCTCATCTGGATTATTTGTGCAATATCTGTTTTATTAATAAGGAATCAACAGGTGTCAAGGTATGAAATTATTTTTTATTTAATTAAAATATAGGCTTAAATTTCTTGAGCATTTCTCCTTAAACATATAATAATGATTTAACCAAAATTCTGAAACATAAATAACTTCAATTGCTTTATGATGTTAACATTCCTTAAATACATACAACATCCATACCTTTGAAATGTTATTTTAGTGGATACTAAAAAGATACAATAGCTCGTTGCCTATGCCTATGGTTAACCTTGATCTTAAAAGATGGTAAAAACTAACTAGGTTCATGGGAGCCAAGACACAGAAGAGGCTACATATTTAGCTCCTTAGTACTGAAGGAATGAAGGAAATATGACAGATGTGTATAACCCATTCTCAGTCTTTCCTATGTCCCAAGTTATAATGTCTTCAAGAATAGGGTCATTGTTTTATATATCTTTGTACATCCTTAAGTTAAAAACACTATAATTTTATGTTCTTACTGTTTAGATATGATCTTAATCTTAATTAGGTTTTAAATCAGTCTTGTTAATTTATTTGCCCAAGGGCTCTCCATGTCTGTTTTTAATCTAAGCCCAATCCCCATTGGAAAAAAAATGAAATAATACCCATTCAAGTTATATTAGCATCTTAACTAATTAAACGAGATAATCTATGGTGGAAATGTGCGTGAGGTTATAAATACGTGAGATGCCTAGCAACTATACTTCATTTATTATAATCACTAATGCCATCAATAAAAATGCTAGTATCAAGCTTTAAAAAACCTGTTTAATCATTTTAGGATGACTTTTACATTCTACCTTTCAGCCAATTTGTTACCAATCTCTAAAAGATACGTTAAATCTGTAAAAGAAAACATTATGCAAAAGAGAATCAAAAGCTGCACTAATATCCCAACAAAGAAAAAAAAACAGATTATATGTATTATATTCCAGGTTAACTAAAGTAATTAATTCAAGATAAGAGGTATTGAGTATAATCTTCTGAAACAAGGGAATGAGATCTCTCTACCAATATCCATTATCTCAAATTATCAAAGAAGCAAAATAAAAAGTAGAGCAACATCCAAACAGCAGTTTCACACATCAATAAGCTTCAGATAGGTCTGTTTTTTCCTTAAGTAGCATTGGTATTATTAAAGTGACTTTTCAAATCAATAATTATAATATCTTGACCAATAGAAAAAATACTAAGGTTTGGATAATTATAAACTTCTAAAAAATAACTCATTTGTACTTATCCATACTACAATGCTTTTTGCAAAGAAACGTACATCTCTGCATCTGCTTACTATACTCAGACATGTTATCTGGTCTTATTGACCGTAGAAATTTGATATACTCATCACTGTGGTATTTTGTCATTTCTTCGGCAGTAGCTTTATGGGGCCTCTGTGAAGAAAAATGTCAGAATTGTAGAATTACAACAGGGTATGTGAAGAATATTAAACAAGATATTTAATTTCTCTTAATAGTCCCTTCAAAAGAACTGGGTCCACCAGAACAAAATACAGTAATAGCCCCCATTTGTAAGTGTGAGCTGCACATAACTCGGATGTTTGTAACTCAGGGACTGCCTGTATATGTATTCCAAAGTCAATCTAAATTTATACGTGTGTGTTTTAGGAAACAGTTATCAATTCCAAAGCTAATTCAAACTTCTTTAAAAGCATTAGCAAAGCTTACACTTAAATGGAAATGGGTCACCCTTTATAAAGTCAAATCCATGTTCGTAAACTCTACTTTCTCTCATTTTCCATGATAAACCTTCTATAAAAACTGATTTCAATGACCACCCAGAAAAAATCATTCTCAATTGTCTTAGTTCATGACTATCAAAATCCTCCATTTTCCAAAGAGCTCAATCACTTCTTCCACAAGGATTCTACACATTAAGAGTCTCATTCAACTGCCTCTCTTCTTAAGTGTCTATATTTCAAAGAAAATAGTTAACTGCTTCAAGTATTTTTCTTCCCAAATAGATACTGTTTTGTTTGCTTTTGTTTATATACCTGCTCATCTAATATTGCAAACACTTAATCTTGTTCACATCATACCTATAATATATCTAATTATAAAAACATTTAAGGCAGTTGTTGCACTTATGCTACTAGACTCTGCAAGGCCACTAACACAGAGTTCCATATATGTGTCCAATATTTATTTATAGTATTAATTTTGTGCATAAATCAGGTCAATTCTTTCTAGCACTATAGGTAGATTAACAATAATTCTCACAAAAATATTTAATATGCTAGGCTGAGTTGTTTCTCCAGTAAAAGCCTAGTAAGGGTCGGGGGAAACAGTTTTTAAAATGGTTAAAAGAGACTACAACTCCCACATTTACAGTTTTCTCAGAAGAATGAAACAAAAAGAAGAGTAATTTTCTTCCAAACTTTTTCATCTGCTAAATGCCCTTCAAAGGGGAATAAGTGACAAAGTTCCAAACCAGCAGCTAAGAAAAAAAAAGTTTTGAGTATTTACAAAAAGGTATACTTACATATATTTCCATTTTTCTGTATAAGCCATAATTTAACAGCAAGTTATGGGTCATACGGATTCTGTGCGGTTTCATGGGATGACCCTGCCCATAATAATAATTTCCAATATCACCTAAAATAGAAAAGACATAAACTAAACAACAGACAAGAGAATCTTCATAAACTGAGTTTATGTATGTCTATCATTAGCAAACACTTGCCACTTAGTTAAGATTAATCAAAACCTTAAATTATAATTTTAGATTTTGCAACTTTCAAACTATGTTAGAAAACCAAGATATTATGCACACTTTTACATGGTGATGACTCCAATATTGCATTATGTTCACTTGTAGATTAGGAAAGCAAGCTTTTTGATTTTTGGTTCCCCTTAAAAGTTTTAGTTCTGTTCTTTGAAATAATGTTTCCTTTTAGTATTCTCTGATAAATTTAGTATTCTCTGATCAATTATGGTCTATCAGGGAAGTTTTGATAATTGAAATATAGATCCTAAATAAAGTTTTGCTTTGCTACAACATATCCATGACATTTCTCAAGGTAGTAAGAACACTATCTCATTCTTCCTAAGTTATAATTCCTAGCCTTTCTAAATGGAACCTTATATCCTCATGTCTTAAAATTTATGCACTAAGTATGAAAATAAGCAAATAACACCCAAATCACAGATTTTCTTTTTCTTTCTTTTTTTCAAGACACAGTCTCAAGCTGTCACCCTGGGTAGAGTGCCATGTTATCACAGCTCACACAACCTCAGACTCGTGGGCTTAAGCAATTCTCTTGCCTCAGCCTCCCAAGTAGCCGGGACTATAGGCTCCCACCACAACATCCGGCTATTTTTTTTTGTTGCAATTGTCATTGTTTTCTTTAGTTGGCCTGGGCCGGGTTCAAATCAGCCAACCTCAGTGTATGTGGCCGGCGCCCTGCTGACTGAGCTATGTACGGGAGCTGCCCTGAATCACAGATTTTCATCTACCAAACTTCAGTATTTCCAGTGTTTCTTAGTAAAATATGACAGTATGAAGCCCTCTTAAATAAGTGAAGTTGGCCATCTATCTGTAGATTCAAATAATCACAGACTGAAAATAATTTTTAAAAAATGGAGAGTAGTGCCTGTACTGAATACACATAAGACTTTTTTCCTTAAACAACATAGTATAACTTACATAGCATTGACTTTTGGAGTAGCTATTATAAGTAAACCAGAGATGATTTAAAGTACAAGGGAAAAAATACATAGGTCTTAAACAAACACTACACCATTTTACTTAAACTTGAGCATCCTGGAAGTGGGTATCTGTAGATGGGTCCTGGAACCAATGTCCTGCAGATTCCAAGGGAAGACTTCATTGGTTTTCAAAAATTTTTTAACAAATTAGAAATTATTTTTAATATGGATTCTGTTATTTAAGTAAGCAGTTCTAAAATTTTGTTAGGACTGCTAAGCTAATTTTAATGGCCTGAAGTCTATCATTTCAATATAGATTTATATAATAAAAGCTAGGATAAAGAATGCCATTTATCTATTGTCAGGACCAGTAAATCTTTCAAAATCCTCCCTAAATACAAGCCTTCTATAAAATTGTTTAAGGAAACCAAGAACCCCAAGATCTGTATTCTCTCTTTCACACATGTTTGATAATAGTACAACATGAACAGGCGGCGCCTGTGGCTCAGGAAGTAGGGCACTGGCCCCACATACTGAGAGTAGCAAGTTCAAACCCGGCCCCGGCCAAACTGCAACACAAAAATAGCTGGACATTGTGGCAGGCCCCTGTAGTCCCAGCTACTCGGGAGGCTGAGGCAAGAGAATCGCCTAAGCCCAGTAGCTGGAGGTTGCTATGAGCTGTATTGACACCAGGGCACTCTATCGAGGGTGATCAAGTAAGACTTTTTGTCTCAAAAAAAAAAAAAAAATCCATGCTTCCAATATTGCGAACACTTAAATTTTGTTCATACCGTATCTCTAATTTAATTTCATTCAACATAAGCTCTTCTCAGAAAATAATTTGTATACAGTCATTTAAAGGGAAGGCTACCTTAATTTTTTTTATTATTTATTATTCTTATTTCTTTTATGAGACAGTCTTGTTGTCGCTCAGGTTGGAAGTGGTGTGGCACAAGTACTTCCTGCAAACTCAGGAACTCTGGGACTAAAGCAATCCTTCTGCCTCAGCCTCCTGAACATCTGGGTCCCTACAAGCATGGACTACCATGTCCAGCTAATGTTGGGAAGGTAGAGGGCGAGGGTACAGATTAGTCTCACTATTTTGCCCAAGCTAGTGTTTAACTCCTGGCCTCAAGGGACCTACCACCTCAGCCTCCCAAGTGTTAGGTTTACAGGCACTGAAGGCCAGAGCAACCTTGCAGGTCAGGACCCCTAGTGCCACTTTGTTAATGCAGGTACCAACAACACAGTTAGGAACAAAGCAAGGAAACAATAGAGAGAAGCAGCAAACCAGGCCCTATGAGACTTTCCTTTGCACAGAACACAGCTGAAAGGCTATGAAGGCAGAAAATAAACTTCCTATCAAGGAAGGAACCGCCATAAAGCTCTCTGTGGCGGCAGTACATACAGTTCCCTGAAAGCAAAGGAAAACCCTCTCAGGTTATAAAGCATTATGTACCTAAATTAATGCAATGAATGTTATATCTTTTTTCTTTTCTTTTTTTTTTTTTTGAGACAGAGCCTCAAGCTTTCTCCCTGGGTAGAATACCATGGCATCACAGCTCACAGCAACCTCCAACTCCTGGGCTCAATCGAGTCTCCTGCTCAGCCTCCCAAGTAGCTGGGACCACAGGCGCCCACCACAACGCCCGGCTATTTTTTGGTTGCAGCTGTCATTGTTATTTGGCGGGCCCAGGCTGGATTCAAACCCGCCACCTTAGGGGTATGTGGCTGGCACCTTAGCTACTTGAGCCACAGCAGCAAGCCACAAATGTTATTTCTAAGTTATCATCACTACCAAAGAGACTATTAGAGTTAAAAATAAAGTCAAGTCTTCATACAACTTCTATTTGCCTGTTTAAGAATTACTAAGATGAAAGAACATCTGATATGTATGTTATTAGTATCAGATGTTTAAGAATTACTAAGATTACTTAACATTTACCACATCATGAGATCAAATTCTCTTGACATGGGCATACAGAGAATCCAATGGGAAGGCCCAGCCCCCAGTAATTTAGAGAAAGGAAATGACACTGGAACTTCTCAGTGATGAAAAAAAAAATGGTAGCAGTAAATATCATGTACCAAGTGCTTATAGGAAGGCACCATTCTAAGCACTTCATATGCATTATCTTTTAATCTTTTTAATAACCTGATAACATAGATATTATTACTATTATTCCCATTTTATTACAGTATAGAATAGTAAAACATAGACAAGTCAGTTAACGTTAGTTACCAAAGGACAGTAAGCAGGGGCAGGAGCTAGATTCAAACTCAGGCAGTGCAGCTCACAGACAATGCTCCTTAGTTAGCTACGAAGAGAGCTAACGGCACAATCAAGAGCTAAGGCTGACAAGAAGGGGCATAACATGGAATGTGAATATGCACTTTTATAAAGGTAGGGTCTTAAAGCCACAATTTAGGGGACCCAATACCACCAAGAATATACCTACAACCTAAACGATACATGTCAATAAAGACAGCCAGCTACAGATAATTATTTAGTTTATTAACAATTCCTCCAAAATACAGGGGAAAGAAAGGGGGAAAAGGGAGGACGACTGGCGGGATCTCACTTAATGTGCACAACAGGAGGGTGGTCAGCAAGACCCCTGGGGGAAGGGGTTGACTAAAACTTGGAACTTTACCTTAGAACTATAAACACTGTAACCTAAACATTTGTACCCTCAAATTAATTTGAAATAAATAAGAATTCTTCCAAAACATAATATAAGAGGGTTATAAAAGTGCCATCTCCAACTCTTCCCACCCCCGCCCCTAACTCTGTATCTCACAATTCTCTAGATGGCTACTTTGCAGGCAACCACTTTTTAATATAACACTTTTAAAAGTTATACCAATTTTCATCAAAATACAGGCTGATTACCCCTAATCTGAATATTCAAAATCTGACATGCTCCAGAATCTAAAAATCTATGGAGCACCTCTTCATGTACAAAGGAAATGCTCATTAGATCATTTCAGATTTTCAAATAAGGGATTCATAACTATTAAGTATTATTGTAAATATCCTCAAATGCAAAAAAAAAAATCTGAAATATTTCTAAGTCCCAAGCATTTTGGGTAAAAAAAAAAATCAACCTGTATTTAAAAATATTTTACCAATAAAGTTAACACCTTTAAAAAATCAGCTCAAAAGTGCATCTTACACAACAAACTTTAATTATCAAATTACCACAAAGATCTGAAATTACCATAAAGATTTATCTGCAAAATTTTAGAAATTACTCTCTCTTCAAAAAGCTTTCAGAATGGAAGAGGCTATTAAGGTACTCAATCTCTTTTTTTTTTTTTTGAGACAGTCTCAAGCTGTTGCCCTAGTTAGAGTGCTGTGCTGTCACAGCTCACATCAACCTCAAAGTCTCGGGCTTACTGATTCTCTTCCTCAGCCTCCCAAGTAGCTGGGACTACAGGCGCCTGCCACAATGCCCGGCCATTTTTTGTTTTTGCAGCTGTCATTGTTGTTTAGCTGGCCCAGGCCAGGCTCAAACCCACCAGCCTCGGTGTATGTGGCTGGCGCCATTAACCTCTGTGCTACGGGCGCCAAGCCAAGGTACCCAATCTCTTATCCACAGTTCTTGGAACTAACTACATTCCAAATTTTATGGTATTTCAGATTCTATAAAGGTACCAGTATATCTGCTATATATTATGTAGTATCAAACAGTATGGGCAGCTTGCTATAATCAAACATTTCTGCAGCAAAAAAAGTGAATATTCACCATGAGATCATAAACAGTCTCACGTTAATTCAGGTTAAGCTTTTGATGCCACATGCATTATAAAAATTTTCAGTTTTCAGAACATTTTGAATTTGAGGACTATGAAATGTGCCCTTATCTCTAAAAATAAGCTGTTAAAAAAAATCAGGAAAAAATAAGAAAAAAACAAGAAAAACCTACTTACTGTCTTATTTTTATCT